TAGAAGGGCGTTGGAGATACTCCGTCGAATCCATGTTCTGAGAAAAACGCGAAACAAGTTTATGAAATAGAAGGTGTTCGAAAAAACATAATTTAATTTTTTGAAATATATCTGCACAGTCAAATGAATTTCGATTTTTTTTCAGAAGATCCGACGTGAAAAACTCTACAAAAATCTGTATGAACAATCCAAATTGACTCTTTCTGATGGTTCCTTTCATACTCAAAATGAAAAACAGAGAATTTTTGGACATGAGGTGAGCCATTTTTCGACCCTTGTTTAATTCATATCTCTGTCAAACGTCAGAGTATCGAGCTGAAAATTTTACCATAGCATCCTCACTCCAGCCTCAACATATGCCCCAAAATTCAGCCCATTTGAACTTGTCTGGACTGAGATCGATTTTTGAGGGGGCCCCCTTAACTGAAGATCAGTGGTATGTTAATATTGAATATCAGGCTGACAAATTTCATAATTATATAACAATCTATACAATACCCTATCCATGTAATGGCTATACATTACTATCACAACGTGAACAATTTCAGTTATTGACAACGAATCCATCAACAACTACAAATGACCTCTATCAACGTGTACGCATATTAACGATGCGGTCTAAAGGCACTCATCATTATTTTTCTCATATTCATACATTACAATGTCAACAGAATTTAAATTTATCTTCTTTTCGTAATAATGAATTATTATTAAAATTATTCAGTTCTACGTTGAATTTATCAACAATAGTGGATTTGTATTTAATTTCATCCATTGATATTAATAGTTATCTTCTGTTTTCAAAAATGTCTTGTTTGAAAATATTACGTTTGACATATTCAGTATTATTAAAAATAACAAATAACTTTCAACACGAATCGTTCATTTATCACACGTATTACCCTCCTAGGTTACTACCAAAAACTATATATTAGAGGAAGAACAATATCTGTAGTAAGATCCCATTTGATACTCTCTTACGAAATTATACTAATATTGATGAAAAAGCAGTAGCAGTTGAAGAGATTCTTCTTGAACAGGTCAGTCGAGTAATACCGCATAAAGTCATTACTCTAAAGCCAAGGGATAAAATTTGGTTCTCGGATGACCTTCGTGTCTTACATAAAGATAAAGTGAGAATGTATCGTAAAATGATTAGTAAACCTACATTAGTAAACAAAAATAACTACGAACAAGCTGTTGTCAAATTTCGTAAAGCATGTGTCCAGGCTAAAGTGGAGTTCTATAAAAAAATAAATCATAAAGTGTCCGTTTCGTCCAAAAATTGGTGGTCGCTTGTTAAACATACAATGGGTCGTGATCGTACGACAGCAATTCCAGCATTAAAAGATAAAAATGGAGATGTCAGAGTAGATGTTCAGAGCAAAGTTGAAATTCTAAATGCACATTTTGCTAATATTTGTACATGGAGTGGTTATTCTAATTTCTCTTCTGTTGCTGATAAGTTACCACTAGCTTCGTCTCGTTTAAGCGTATTTACTGCTACGTACAGAGATGTCAGAAAAATTTTACAGAGATTGAATTGTAACAAATCAACAGCTCCAACAATAACCAATAGGATGCTAAGATATCTTGAACCCTCTATAACACAGTGCTTAACACATCTCATTCGCGTATCATTTAGCACGACATCTTTTCCAGATCACTGGAAAGGTGGCTATGTGAATGCTTTGTTCAAGTCAGGAGATACGCTTGATCCTACCAACTATCGACCAATAACGCTTTTGCCAGCAATCTCGAAAGTATGTGAGAGAATTGTACATCAACAATTATATGACTACCTGATGAAAAACAAACTGTTGTCTGTTTTTCAATCAGGTTTTATTAAGAAAAACTCAACAACTAATCTTTTACCTGACGTAATCCATAAAATAAATGTAGGTATGGAAAAAAGTAAGATTGTTCGCGCAAGTCTCTTAGATTTTCAAAAGGCATTTGATAATGTAAATCATAAGGCACTGTTGCTGAAATTAGAAAAAAAAGGTATTCGAGGGAAAGCTCTCGAGTGGCTTGAGAATTATTTATCTGGGAGATCTATAAGAACAATTTTGGACGGTGTAA